CCCCATGGACATTATACACCTTTATTGGTACCTAGCGAACCTTGGGTTGACATTTCAATGGATTTTGTGTTAGGTTTGCCTAGGACTAAAAAGGGGCGTGATTCAGTTTTTGTTGTGGTGGATAGGTTTAGTAAAATGGCACACTTTATACCATGTCACAAAACCAATGATGCCACTAACATTGTGGACTTGTTTTTCAAATAAGTAGTACATTTGCATGGTGTTCCCAAAAGTATTGTGTTCGATAGGGATGTTAAGTTTCTTAGTCACTTTTGGCGGGTCTTGTGGAATAAGTTAGGCAAGAAATTATTGTTTTCTACAACTTGTCACCCACAAATCGATGGTCAAACTGAAGTAGTGAATAGAACAATTACACAACTATTGTGTACTGTGGTTAATAAAAATATAAAGAATTGGGAAGAATGATTTCCCTTCGTTGAGTTTGCATATAATAGGGCCACACATTCTACTACGTCATTTTCACTATTTGAAATCGATTATGGTTTTAATTCTTTAACACCTATGGATTTAATACCTTCGACTGTGAATGAACAAGGTAGCTTGGACGGGAAAAAGAAAGCCGAATTGGTAAAGACACTCCATTAAATGGTAAGGGAGCAAATAGAGAGGAAGAACAATTAATGCACAACACAAGCAAAAAAAGGCCAAAAATATGTCACTTTCGAACCCGGAGATTGGGTTTGGGTGCATTTCAGGAAAGAGCGATTCCTAGAGCAAAGAAAATCAAAGTTATTGCCACGAGGAGATGGACCATTCCAAGTGATTGAGAAGATCAACAACAATGATTATAAGATAGATCTTCCAGATGAGTATAGTGTTTTCTTTAACCTTCAATGTTTTTGACTTATCTCTTTTCGATGCAAGTGCAGATTCGAGGTCAAATCCTTTCAAAGAGGGAGGGGATGATGTGATCCAGGAAGCACAAGTACCAAAGTCAAGTCCAGAGTCGAGCCCAAGAAAAGATCGGTTGATAGTCGAGGGGCCGATGATGCGATCGACGGCAAGCATGTGAAAGAGGTGATGGGATTACTCGTCAAAGCAAAGGTTGATGAAACAATGTTCGAGATGTAAAATGGAGCAAGTCTCGTGTTAGCGTCAAAGCATGGGTTCTAACGTTGAGCTACATTTTTATTTTAATTATTCTTTGTCACGTATATATTTCATGGTTTTAATTCTAAATTAATTAAAAAAACCCTAAACCCTAAACCTTATGACCCAAAAATTGCCTAGAAATGCTTGAAAAGCAGGCTGTGTCCTGTAGTGACAATGACGCGTCCCAGACTGGGCCTCCACATTGATTCCCAAAAATTACCTATAAATGCCTAAAAATCTGGCAGCTTCTCTGCCGCAGCCAGGATGCGTCTCAGACTTGGCCTACACACCGTGCCCGCAAACTGCCTAGAAATGCCTAAAAATTAGGCTATGTCCCTACCTAGCCAGGACGCGTCCCGGACATGGTGTGTACATAGTGCCCAAAAACTGCCTGAAATTACCTAAAAATTAGGCTCTGTCCCTGTGTGGCCCGAACGCGTCCCGACATGACCTGCATGCTGCGTCCTGGACATCTCCTGCACACCATGTCCTGAAAACTACCTAGAAATGCTTGGAAATCAGGCTGCATCCTTGTCGCAGCCCAGACGAGTCCTGGACATTGCTTGCACACCGTGTCTAAGAAACTACATAGAAAAACGTGAAAACCAGGATCTGTCCCTGCAGTATCCTAGACATGACCTGCACGCCGTGTCCTGAAAATTGCCTGAAAACCAGGCTGCATCCCTGCCATGGACCAGACGCATCCCGGACATTGCCTATACATCGTGTTCCAGAAACTACCTAAAAATACTTGACAGTCTGGATACGTCCCTGCCGCATCCTGGACGTAACCGACGTATCGTGTCCACGAAACTGCCCAAAATTGACTGAAAATCAGACTCCGTCCCTACCTTGGCCATGACGCGTCTCAGACATGGCCTGCACACCGAGTTCTATAAATTGCAATGAAATGCCTAAAAATTAGGCGGCATCCCAGCCGCGGCCTAGACGCGTCCCGGACATGGCCTGCACACCGTGCCCACAAACTGCCTACAAATGCTTGAAAATTAGGCTGCATCCCTATAGCGGCTAGGATGCGTCCCGGACACGACCTGCACACCATGCCCAAAAACATCCTAGGAATGCCTGAAAATCAGGTTGCATCCCAGCGTGGCCCTGACGCGTCCTTGTCATGGCCTAAACACCGTGTCCTAGAAATTGCCTAAAAATGCCTGAAAATCAGGCTACATCCCTGCCGCGTCTTGGACATGGCCTGCACACCGTGTCCCAAAAACTGCCTAAAAGTGCTTGGAAATCGGAGCAGCCCCAACAAATCGAAGAAATTGCGTAGAAATATGTGAAAATCAAAATGTGTCCCTACAGCATCTTGGACATGGCCCACACACCATGTCCCAGAAACTGCCTAGAAATGCCTGGAAACTAGGCTGTATACCTACCGCGACCCTGACGTGTCCCAGACATTGCCTGTACACTATGCTCCAGAAGCTGCCTAAAAATACCTGAAAGTCAGGATGCGTCCCTGTCGCATCCTGGATATGGATTGCACACCGTGTCCCAAAAACTGCACATAAATTGCCTGAAAATCAGACTCCGTCCCTGCCATGGCCATGACGCGTCCTGAACATGGCTTGCACATCGAGTCCCAAAAAATGCTAAGAAATGCCTGAAAATCGAGCTGTGTCCCTACCGCGGCTAGGATGCATCCTGGACATGGCCTGCACACCGTGTCCACAAACTGCCAACAAATGCTTGAAAATCAGGATGCGTCCCTACTGTGGCCAAGATGCATCTCGAACTTGGCCTACACACCATGCACAAAACTTTCCATAAATGCCTAAAAATCAAGTTGCATCCCTGATGTGGCCCGGATGCTTCTCGATCAATGCCTACACACCATATCCCAGAAACTGCCTAGAAATGCCTGTAAATCAAGCTGCGTCCCAGCCGCGTCCTGGACATGGTCTACACATTGTGTCCCAAAAACTCCTAGAAATGCCTGGAAATCAAGCGCATCCCTACAGCAGCCCCAACGCGTCTCGAAAATTACCTGGACACCATGTCCAAGAAATTGCCTAGAAATACGTGAAAGTCAGGATGTTTCCCTGTAGCATCCTGGACATGGTCTACACACCGTGCCCCAAAAACTACCTAGAAATGCCTGGAAACCAGGCTGCATACCTGCCGCGGCTTAGATGCGTCTCGAACATTGCCTGCACACCGTGTTCTAGAAACTGCCTAAGAATACCTGAAAGTTAGTATGCATCCCTACCACATCCTGGACATAGCTTGCACACCGAGTCCTAGAAATTGCTAAGAAATGCCTGAAAATCAGGCTCCATCCCTACCATGGCCATGATGAGTCCCAGACATGGCCTATACATCGGGTCCCATAAATTGCCAATAAATGCCTAAAAATCGGGTTGCGTCCCTACCGCGACTAGGACGCGTTCTGGACATGGCCTGCACACCGTGCCCACAAACTACGTACAAATGCCTAAAAATCAGGCGGCGTTCCCACCGTGGTCAGGACACGTCCCAGACGTGGCTTGCACACCGTGCCCAAAACTTCCCAAAAATACCTGAAAATCAAGCTGTGTCCTGCCGTATTCCAGAGATTGCCTAGAAATACCTAAAAATCAGGCTACGTCCTTGATGCATGGTGGACGTGGCTTGTACACTGTGTACCAGAAATTGCCTAGAAATGGTTGAAAATTAGGTTGCATCCCTGTCGCGGCCCAGACGCGTCCTGTACATTGCCTGAGCACTGTGTACCAGAAAAGTGTCTAGAAATACCCGAAAACATGGATACATCCCTACCGTATCCTGGACATGGCTTACACACTGTGACCCAGAAACTATCTAGAAATTCCAGAAAATCAAGCAGCGTCCCTACCGCGGCCAGGACATGGCTTGCACACCGTGTCCCAGAAACTGCGTAGAAATACCTGGAAATAAGGCTGCATCCCTATCATAGCCCAGACGAGTCCCGAACATGGCCTGCACACCTCGTCCTAGAAGTCGCTTAGAATAGCATGAAAATCAGGCTGCGTCCCTGCCGCATCTTCGACATTACCTGCACACCGTGTCCTAGAAACTGCCTAAAAATGCCTGGAAATCAGGTTGCGTTCCTACCACAATTAGGACGCATCTCGAACATGGTCTGCTCACCGTGTCCAAAAACTGCCCTAAAATACCTAAAAATCAGGCTTCGTCCCTATCGTGTCTCGGTTGCGTTCTGAACATAGCCTGCACACGATGACGTAGAAACTGCTTAGAAATACCTGAAAATCAAGCTATGTCCATGTCACATCTAGAATGCGTCCCGAACATGGCCTGCACACAATGCCCAAAAACTATCAAAAAATGCCTGAAAATAAGGCTGCGTCCCATCGGTGGCCATGACTTGTCCCGAATTTGGCCTACACACCATGTCCCAAAAACTACCCAAAATGCCTGGGAACATGTCTACGCCCCTAACATGGCCTGCACACCATGCTTTCTTCATTTGTTTAAAAATCTGATTGAGCCCCGAACGTGGTCAGGAAGCATCCCGAACATTGCCTGCACATCGTGCCCTTAGACTGCCTAGAAATGCCTGAAAATCAGATTGCGTTCGTGGCCAAGATGCCTCTCAGACATGGCCTACACATCGTGCCCATAAACTGCTTAGAAATGCCTAAAAATCAGATTATGTCCGCGACTCAGACGCGTCTCGGATAAGGCCTGAACACCATGTCCTAGAAACTGATTAGAAATGCCTAAAAATAAGTCTGCGTCCTGGACATGTCCTGCACACCGTGTCCCAGAAAACCTAAAGCCCAAGCCCTAAACTGTAAGCCCTAAGCTTTGGACCCTGAATCCTGGACCCTAAACCCTAGACCATTTTCCTTCTAATGAAGTAAATTAGTTTTCGAATTTTTCTTCAAATGGCACAACCAGTAATTACACGACCAGAGAGCCAAGCTTCATGGAAGGACTTCAACATTAAAAATGAACTTCGGGTGAAATTCTTTCAATAAATGTGATACCTGAACTTGTCAATCCTGATCGGAAGGAGAAGAGAGAGAATAGTTCTTCTTCTCGATATCAGATAAAAGGCCAGTGGATAGACGAAGAAAATAGGAGACTGATTAGCTTAGTATATCAATTTGGATTGAGGAAATGGGTTGTAATAGCTGAAGAAATGGTTGGTAGAGTGGGAAAATAGTGTCGCGAGCGATGGAATAATCATTTGCATCTTCTTATCAAGAAGGACGTTTGGACTGAAGATGAAGAGAGACGGTTAATTCAAGCACATGAAAGACTTGGAAATCGATGGCTAGAGATAGCTAAGTACATTCCTGGAAGAACTAAAAATTCAATAAAGAATCATTGGAATGCCACAAAAAGGAGGTAGATTTCAAGGAGAAAGATAAAAAAAGTAAAAGGAGATAGAAGACAGTTAACAATATTATAAGATTACATCATAAAAAAGTATTTCAGTAATGGTTCCACCTCCACTAACTCAAATTCTGGTACCACTACCACTGCAGCAAATTCGTCCAATGTCAGCACACCACTCTCTGATGATGAAGACTCTACACCATTTTTCAGTTTTGAATCATGCAATGACGAAATGGATTTCATGAAAACCCCGTTTGAAAACAATCAGTCCATCGATTCAATTCTGTCAACCAATGAATCCAGCTCAACGGACATCTGAGAGTACTTATAGCTTCAACATTGATGAAAATTATAATCATCCCACCATTTTCTTCACTTCCCTGGAGATTTTACAGACAACTAATTCTCAACTGCCTGCTGTAGAATATGTGGAAAATGACTTATTCCATTCTGCTTCAAACCCTATGGGAAATAAATTTTTCCCTTATGAGAATTCAGAATTAATCATGGAATTAAATTCTAACTTTCAAAGCTTGGAGACTGAAGCTTCACAGATTTATCCTGATGAGTTGTACTTTTCATATCAATGGGACGGAGACAATGCTGGAAACGAAAATTTAACAACAAATCTGCCAACAATTGATCAAGGTACAACCTTTAGAAGCACAATGGACACGGATTTGATGGATATGGTATCATCTTCTCAGCTGCCTCCTTAATTAAGTCCATACAATGGCTTATTCTAATCTAGTTACTATTTATTATCCTATAATTATTGTGTTTTACCTTAGTTAAACACTCTATGACTTTACAAATATCTGTAAAATTGAGTTCCGTTGCTTTGTTATTAAAGGGAAATTCAGGCCCAAAAAACCCTAAACCCTAAACCGTAAGCCCTAAACCTCGATGAGGCCACCTCCCACTTGAGACGCCCTAGTAAGGCAAGGTTGTGTATTGAGGTAAATTTGGGGCATAAGTTGCTCGAGAGGGTTTGGATTGGGCTCGTCGAAAATCATGGCTTTTGGTAGACAAATATTTAATAGAAGCGGCCGATTTTTTTGCTTCTCTTCTAAACACTTGGGCCATTCTTATGATAAGTGTACTACGGTTCCTTCTCCTTCCCCTACAGTTGTTGTGCATCCCCCTATTTAGGCTGCATCCCTGTCGCAGCCAAGACAAGTCCCGAACATTGCCTGGACACCGTGTCCAAGAAACTACATAGAAAAATGTGAAAATCAAGATGTGCCCCTATAGCATCCTAGACATAGCCTACACACCGTGTCCCGAAAATTGCTTGAAAACGAGGCTGCATCCCTACCATGCACCAGATGCATCCCAGACATTACCTGTACATCGTGTTCCAGAAATTGCCTAAAAATAACTGAAATTCTAGATACATCCCTGCCGCATCCTGGACATGGCCTGCACACCGTGTCCATGAAACTGCCCAAAATTGCCTGAAAATCAGGCTCCGTTGCTGCCTTGACCACGACGCGTCCCAGACATGGCCTACACATCGAGTCCTAGAAATTGCCAAGAAATGCTTGAAAAGTAGGCTGCGTCCCCACAGCGGCCAGGACGCGTCCCGAAGGCAGCCTGTACACCGTACCCAAAAACATCCCAGGAATGCTTGAAAATCAGGCTGCATCCTTGCGTTGCCCTGATGCGTCCTATCATGGCTTGAACATTGTGTTTCAGAAACTGCCTATAAATGCCTGAAGATCAAGCTGCATCCCTACCGTGTCCTAGACAAGGCCTGCACATCGTGTCCCCAAAACTGCTGAGAAATGCCTGGAAATGAGGCTGCATCCCTACAGCATACCCAATGCATCCCAAAAATTGCCTGCAACTAGGTCAAAGAAATTACCTAGAAATACGTGAAAATCAGGATGTGTCCCTACAGCATCCTTGACATGGCCAGCACACCATGTCCCAGAAACTGCCTAGAAATGCCTGGAAACCGGCTGCATCCCTATCGCGGCAAAGACGTATCCCAGACATTGCCTGTATACCGCGTTTCAGAAACTGTCTAAAAATACCTAAAAGTCAAGATGCGTCCTTGCCGCATCCTGGACATGGCTTGCACATCGTATCCCAAAAACTGCCCAAAATTGCCTGAAAATTAGGCTCCGTCCTTGTCATGGCCATGATGCGTCCCGAACATGGCTTGCACACCGAGTCCCAGAAATTACCAAGAAATGTTTGAAAACAATCAGTCCATCAATTCAATTCCAGTCGATCGTTGTCAACCAATGAATCCAGCTGAAGGGAGCTCTGAGAATACCTATAGCTTTAACATTGATGAAAATCATAATCATCCCACCATTTTCTTCACTTCCCTGGAGATTTTACAGACAACTGATTCTCAACTGCATGCTATAGAATATGTGGAAAATGACTTATTCCATTCTGCTCCAAACCATATGGGGAATAAATTTTTCCATTCTGAGAATTCAGATTTAATCATGGAATTTAATTCTAACTTTCGAAGGGTGGAGACTGAAGCTTCACAGATTTATCCTGATGAGTTGTACTTTTCATATCAATGGGATGGAGGCAATGCTGAAAGCGTAAATTTAACAATAAATCTGCCAACAATTAATCAAGGTACAACCTTTGGAAACACAATGGACACAGATTTTGTAGAACCCCAAATAATTCTAGACACCTTAGTGGCACTAAGACATGAATATTGGATGACTAAAGTATACTTTAGATTTTTAGTCTCATTTGAGACCCATTTTCAACATAGAAAAAATTCGATTTGGAAAATAACATCTCAATAAAAGTTGTAGCTCTTTGAGTTGGATTTCCAATGCACTTTGAATTACCTCAATCGGATATCGGGACAAGAAGTTATGATAGAAACACTGAAAGCTGTGTAGTGTCAACCGGACTACAACCGGTCGACCGAAACTGCCTAAAATGAAAATTCTCGTTTTTCTCTAGAATTTAAATATTTATTTTCATTAATTATTTTCTCAAAAGGCCACCCACATTTTTGGCAATAAAAACCCCACTAAATTGAAACATTTAACCTCAAACTTAAATGGCACTCATGTTTTCTCCCTTAAATGAAATTTGACTATTCATTTACTTTAAGTTATGGGATATTTACCTATAAATAGAGACCTCATTTCACTCATTTTTCTCACACCAAAAGCAAGAGCTTTTACATACTAAAGAAAGAGTTTCCAAGAGAGAAAAAGAGAGGGAGGAAAACTATTTTTCCTAGAAGTTTAAGAAGTATTTTCAAACATTAATTCTCAACGGTTTTCAAACATCCAAGGAGTGCATTTCTTTCAACGTCCAAATTTCATCAAAGTTTTCAATCCAAGTTTTCAAAGTTTCAAAAGCATCAATCAAGGTAGGCAGAGGTACAATGTGTTTAATCGTGTTAGGTTATAGGTTTTGATTCATGTTAATGTTTGTATGTCAAATGGTACTCCGGTACGGCATACCCCTCTATGTTGAAGAAATGTTCGTATGTCAAATGGTGCCCTCGGGTACGGCATACCCCTTCATGTCAAATGGTGCCTCCGGGTATGGCATGTATGAAAAGTTATAAAGTTAATGTTTTGAAATGTATAGCTTGATCACGAATGCACCTATGACACCTATTGAGTTTTTCAACTCACGGGTTTAATCCCATCTCTACAGATTGAAGGAATTCTACCTCGGGCATAGATGGAGGAGAAGATGGAGAGTCATGCAACGAGCCCATGGAAATCCGATGAATAAGTGATTTGGATTTATTTTTATGAAATGTTTTCCAATGTTATTTCTTTAAAGTTTTGAATAACGCAGAATGCGAGAACAAGTTATGTTTTCTTCAAATAAATTACATTTTTCGTTTTGAAAAATGATTCAGTATTTTTGTTTAAAGTATTTGAAGTATTGTTATTTAAATTATTATCCAAAGATGTAAGCTTTCGCTAAAACGTATGCAATTGTTACTAAACCACCGGTTAAGCTAAGTAAAGTAAGTAGCATTCCGATCCACTAGGGGTCAGGGCGTTACAGCGTGGTATCAGAACAAGGTTTAGCCGATTTTGTAGACCAAGTATGTTTTTTTTTAAAAACAAAAGGAAAATGAAAAGTTTAAGGTATTCCATGGCATCGTGCATCCATCCATCAATCTCATCCTATGGCCCAGGTATGTTCATGTTTAAAGTTAATGATTATGTTTATGTTATGATGCTTTGACATGATTTAGAGATGTGTTATTTAAAGATATGTAATGAACTTGGGCAAAAGCTAAGGGCTTAAAGGGAATTGCGTGATATGAAAGTTTAAATATTTGCATGTTTTCTGTAAGCAAAGAAAAAGTATGATGTATGTGAAAATGCAACAGATATGGCTCGTAGAACGGCTAGGGCATATAGAGAAGCATTGAACCGTAGAATTGCTATCCATTCCTATGAAAACTATGTAACTGATCCAACCCGACCGCTTAGCGAACATGTGTATGGCATCTATGAGAGATGCATGACGACGGTTAATGCTAGAATGGAGATCACGCATATTGAGGCCATAAATAACCTCATACATTCCTTCCCACCTCAATGGAGAGATATGGGAGTCACGGTTAGAGATGAAATGTTAGAAGACAACCCAAACCTGTTCGAGTTTCAGAGGTATTGCCATGCCCTGATTGATTTGTGGGATGATGTAATCCATGAGGAGCCTGAGAAGGGACCTTTGGCTGAGGAAGAAGATCCCGAAGACGAACCCGATGATGATTTAGAAAATGATTCTGAGCCTGAGTCACAGGTTGAGATGGACATAGAGTCCGGACCTGAGCCAGAAGACTCCTTCGAAGATGAAGCTCTACCAGAGAAGATCCGTAGAACTTATAGGGATTAGATTTAAATCCTTGAAATGGCCTGCGCAAACCAAAACTTGATAAGAGACCTCCTTCAAGTGGTTCAAGACCTGGGCAGGCAAAACCCGAACCAAGCTCAACCCCTACCACTACCTCTTAATATTCCAAACCATGCTTCAGTGGTCGAGCAATTTCAAAGGCACAAGCTCCCTACCTTCAACGGAGCATCTGATCCACTTGCAGCCGAGGAGTGGCTTCGCAAGTTGGAGCCTATATTCCGATTGATAGGGTGCACGGACTCTCAGAAAGTCCAGTGTGCCGAGTTCATGTTCTCCGGTGATGCAAGTCATTGGTGGGACTCAATGTCAAGGACAAGGACCCCTGAGCAACAAGCATAATTGACTTGGGAGCAATTCAAAGGGGAAGTAATGGACAAATACTTTCCCCAGTCCTTGAGGTTGTACCTTGACTTGGGAGCAACAAGCATAATCTATATCCATTATGCTTCCAAAGGTTGTACCTTGATCAATTGTTGGCAGATTTGTTATTAAATTTACATTTCCAGCATTGCCTCCATCCCATTGATATGAAAAGTACAACTCATCAGGATAAATCTGTGAAGCTTCAGTCTCCACACTTCGAAAGTTAGAATTTAATTCCATGATTAAATCTGAATTCTCAAAAGGGAAAAATTTATTCCCCACAGGGTTTGGAGTAGAATGGAATAAGTCATTTTCCACATATTCTACAGCAGGCAGTTGAGAATTAGTTATCTGTAAAATCTTTGGGGAAGTGAAGAAAATGGTAGGATGATCATAATTTTCATCAATGTTGAAGCTATAAGTATTCTCAGATGTTCGTTCAGCTGGATTCATTGGTTGACAATGATCGACT